GTTGAGGGCTGCAACTCGACCGGTCAAACGTTGTACTTCCCGAATTATCCTGGGAGATGGCATTTCGAGGAAAGCAGAGATTTGTTTCGGGTTCGCTTCGATTCCTCGTTCGGTGACTAGGTAGCCGAGAAATTCGCCTGAGGCGACTCCGAAGGTACATTTAGCTGGATTGAGCTTCATCTCGTATTGGTTTAAGATTTTGAAGCATTCCCTGAGTTGTGCGACGTGGTCTGTGTCTCTCGCACACTTGACCAGCATGTCGTCTATGTAGACTTTCATGGTTTTACCGAGCTGGTTAGCAAACATTTTGTTTACTAGCCTTTGATAGGTTGCTCCTGCGTTTTTCAGGCCGAAGGACATTACTTTGTAGCAGTAGGTACCTCGATCGGTAATGAAAGCTGTTTTTTTTGGGTCTTCGGACTCATTTTGATCTGATTAGATCTGGAAAAGACGTCCATGAAGGACAAGAGTTGATGGCCGGCTGTGGCCTCGACTAGGCGGTCAATGTGTGAAAGTGAAAAGCTGTCTTTTGGACATGCTTTGTTTATGTTGGTAAAATCGACGCAGACTCTCCACTTTCCATTTTTCTTTTTGACGACCACGGGGTTTGTCAACCAGTCGGGATATTTTACCTCTCTGATCGATCCCACTTTGAGCAGTCGGTCTACCTCGTCGTTGACGGGTTTGATAGTTGGGTTGATGTTGAGTTCGTGTGCGGCGACCTCTGTATCGATGTCCGGCATGTCCGCAGTGGACCATGCGAAGGTGCTCAAGTTTTCTTTTAGAAAATCTATTAGTTCGGTGCGAATTGTTTTCGCAAGATCGACCCCGATTCCAACGCACCTTTCGGGATTAGGGTCGTCTATGCATACTTGCTCGATTAGTTCTGTTCGAGGTTCACATACAGAGGGGTCTTTGTTGTGTTTGAGTTGTTGGACTGCGAGTTCCTCCTCTTTCAGTAATTGCTATACAAGAGTTTTCTCAGCTCGTAAGAAGCTGCCCATATAGCAATCCCTTGAGGCTCGTTGGGAGCCGCGTATCAATTTGGTTCCCCAAGGGGTTGGGAATTTGACACACTGGTGGTATGTGGAAGCTACGGCTTTCATAGCGTAGAGCCAAGGTCTGCCGAGAATAGCGTTAAATGGAGCTGGACGATCTACGACCACGAAGTCCATTGTTTTTATGACTCTGCCGGCTTTAACTGGGAGCTGGATGGTTCCCAACGAGTAGGTGGTTTCTCCTACAAAGCCGGTGAATGGAGTTCGATCGTTCGACAGCATGGATGTTTGGTATCCCATGCGTCTAAAAGCGTCGAAGAACAATACGTCTTCCGAGCTTCCGGTATCAATCATGACCCTTGTGAGGTTGAATCCGTCTACAGCGATCTGTACGACGAGTGCGTCGTCATGTGGTTTATCTAGAGTCAGCGTTTCGCTTTCTAGAAAGCTGATTTAGTGGTCGGATCCGTCCAAGAGTAGGTTTACCGTGGTGGACTCTACCTTGCGTTGATATGCCTTGATCGAGTTGATTGAGTCTCGGCACATCTTCGAGCCTCCGCAGATGAAATCGATTAGCTTCATTGTGGGTAGCTCTCCCTCCCCCTCGAAGGAGTGAGCGATGTGTGAGCTAGAGCCCGCTTTAGATCGAGGTGTCGGGACTTGGGTGATGCTCGGTTTTGACGAGCTTCCGAGTAGTTTTAACACATGTCCTCCCGCGACTTATGGAGCCCTAGAGCTCGATGGCTTCCTAGGTGCGGGCAGGGGAGGGGGGGGTGATTACTGATTTTATTGATCCACCACATAGGTTTAGCTGCCTGAAGATCAGGTCGATTCTTTTTCTCGCTGATGGAGGGGAGTCGGGGGTTTGGACTTCGATCTCGACTTCGCGATCTCGTTTTTGAGGCGCTTTATCGGTGTCCGCTTCCCTGTTTCGTGTCGAGGTCTTTTTGGGTTTTTTGCTTTTTGCCTCAGCTTTCTCGGCTTTTTCCTTGGCGAGCTTTGTCGCCAGGATCCTAGCTCGAGTTCGACATTCCTCAGTGGAATGTCCGTTCTCTTTGTGTTGCTCGCAGTATTTGCTTTGGTCGAAGCTCGACTCCTTTTCAGGAGACGAGCTCTCTATAGCATATGAATGCCGATCTTTGCCCTGTGGCTCCCTTTTGGGAGGTGAAACGTTAGCTTTCTTCGATCCGGAGGGTGCGAGATGGAGCTGTGAGTTACGGTAATTTGCTTCGCAGACGGCTGTTTCATCTTCGAAGTTAGCGTATATAGAAACGCGATGGAGCACATCATCAAGTGAGTCCGTAGGTCGGAGCGTGAGCTCTGCCTTGAACCTCGACTGGTACCAAAAGTTAGTTCGCAAGGCGAGCAGGGCTACTGCTTCGTTAGGGTTAGCGATTTTTGCTTTGATCGTTTTAAACTTAGCGATGTATGATCGAAGCAGTTCATCTGGAGCTTGGACTAGCTTCCAGAGATCAGCTTTGGTTTCTCGTTTTTCGATGAATATCGAATACTGTTTGAGGAAGACTACTGCGAGCTCGCTGAAATTCGATATCAAATTTTTTCCCAGTGTCGCGAACCATTCTTGAGCTGGTCCGACTAGGTTTTCAGCAAAAAGCCTGCAGTATCCTGCGTCTTTCTCTTCTGGAGAGAAATTAGCTCGGCTAGCTGCGAGGTTGAAGAGTCGGATATGGGCTTCCGGGTCGCTGTTCCCAGCGTATTCCGGGACTCTTACTTTGGTAGTGTCTCGGAGGTATGTGTGCATGATCGAGTAGGTGAACGGAGTCTGTTGGGTCTCGCGAATTACTCGATCGATGTCAGGGGCTGAGCTTGTGGCTTGATGGAACATGGAGTTCATCTGCCGAATAGCATAGTCGGTTTGATTCTAGAATCTTTCAAAAAATTCACAGTCGACTAGGTTTTTTGAGTCGACACCAAGATGGTTAGCCCGAATCGGATTATTTAGAATCTGGGTTCCGAGCTGTTGGTGAACGAACCCTATGGGTTGTTCGCGGATCCCGCTCGAAAGTTTCGAGCTCGAGGTCGTGTTTGGTTGTTGGTCGAACTAGGGTGGTGTTTGAGAGCTCGAGGCGAATGCTAAGGATCCAAGCCATCTCTGTCGAGGTGGATCGGTTCCAGGTGGTCTTAAAGGTGGAGATGGATATCTCGTGTTGGGACGAGGTCCCATTTCCGGTATTCCTGGTGTTGGTACAGGTGGAGATGGATATCTCATCGCGGGACGAGGTCCCATCTCTGGTATTCCTGGAACCGGAATGTCCTTGGCGGTTGGTGTTTGATTCATCGCGGGGGCGAAGTTCGGTGGACCTGGAGCACGCAGAGGTGTCGTGTACGGTCCGGATGGATTATTCGAAGCAGAGATCGATGAAAAGTTGAGCTGAGTCCGTGAAGGTGGACTCACAGCGGATCGAGCTGCGGCTTGACGCCGTTCATGCCTTTCTAATCTGATCTCCTGATCTCGCTGTCGATCGATCAGAGGTGTGAGCATTTGGAGTATCTCCGCCGACTCCGACGTGCTCTTAGAAGCTGCGGGTATCAGCGGAGAAACAAGAACTGCTTGGCTCTGTGATGCCGTAGCTATAGGTGGATTCTCAGATCGTACCCAGGTGCGAAAAAGAGGCCTCTCGATTGTTTGTGATTGGTTACCCATTGTACCCAGTGGGGTGACGAGGTTGATCACGATCGGTTCCACGCGGCTGAGAACGTTAGAGTTCATGCTGGTCGTGTCGACGAGGGTCGTAACCCTAGGTTCGTTTCTGCCGGCTGTCTGGTTGACGTTACCGGTCGGGGCTACTTGATCTGGAGAGATCGGAATCGGTGAGACGTTTCCTGAAGTTTGTTGAGTTTAATCCATTTCGGTTTCAGCTGGCTTAGGATCTGTTCTTGAGTAAAAAAAATCTATAGATCTTTTTCCACGGCGCCAAAATATGGTTACAAAAATCTACACTTAGAAATTTATGTAGTTTTGCAAGGAACAAAATTTAAAAAAATTAAAGACTAGATTCTCTCGAACAGATTGACAATATAAACTAGCACTAACTGAAATAAAGACTTTATATTAATTGGTCGAATGAAACAGTTACAAAGATTTCGATGAAAAAGATGAACTGAAAAAAACTCAAGGAACAATTACAGTGTTTTCAAATGTAAAAAGTGTGTAAAAAGATGAAGCCAGAAGTCCCCGGCAAAATGAGAGATCTTCTTTAAATTTAGTAGTTTGTTTTTTATATAGCTTGTCTCGTCGAACTTCAACCTCCAGCGCGTAAAGTTTTAACCTCCAGCACGTATCTCGGCCACGTGCAGTAGCTTCAGCCGGAAATTTTGACCACATAAAACAGTTTCAGCCAGGAATCTCGGACTCATTTGAACTAGTGAAAATATACTCTAATTTGGTCTAGATTTTTCCTTATTCTTCAAGATGATGGTCTGAAGCTCAACTTCGACAAATAAGACGAATAAAACACTGATTATCAAATTTAGACCATTATAAGTGATTGGACCTCAACCATATAAATGATATCCAGTCAACTACACTTAACTTTAAAATATTGTTATTAAACTTAAATGAATAGGATTTATCTCTGAATTTAGAGTGACAAATCCTACTCCAACAAATATTATATTTTATAAATTAATAAAATAATTAATTTGTTTTTTTTTAATATTAACAAATCATAAAAAATCAAACAAATATATTGATAATTTCTCATAAATTTTTGAAAAACAATTTTTTCTCACTTCTCTTTCTTAATTTTTCACTTTCTAAATCTGTTTGCATCAGGTTTTGATTTTCTGTCTCTTTACTTTTTCTTAGTATTTTAATTTTGTAATATACTTAAATCAAAAACTTTCAATATCTCCTACATTGTTTTCATTATTTAGATTGTAAATATTCTATAAAAATTTCCAATATTTTAATTCTCAAAAACCCAATAAAATAATTCCCAGATGCTCTGACAAATAAAATTAAATAATAAATATAATAATCTCATGTATATATTAAGTATACTTTTTTTTGTCGGCATATTAAGTATACTTTACAAATTTGTATTACATTGTTTCTTCTCAAGAAGAGAGTATCGTAACTAGAAACCGGATTTTGGAGACTTTAAGACCGTTCCAACAATAAACAAAGTTGTAACACAATCCCCTAAGAACTATTTAGTCCTATAAAATAAAGTTTCAACCGATAGCAAATATATAGCCATATAGTTATAAGAAGCGCTTTTGAACAAAACAAAAAGAAAAAAAAAAGTTATAAGAAGCGCAGCAACAACGCTTTGATAATTATATATGGTGTCTAAGCTGCAGATGGAGCTTTGACATACTGAAGCACACCAGCCTCGGACAAAGCTTCAACAAGCTGATTCCTATGGCCATCTCCTCCTTTCTCACCAATAATGTTCTTGTAATCAAGAGATTCGTCATTGTAAATGTCCCACCATTTCCTAACCAGTATCTTGATGTCTTCTCTATCCATATTTATTTCTTTTCCAGTGAATCTGATACAGATACACTAGACAACTTTCAGGAAAAACAACAATATAATAAACTAATTTTAAGATGGACAAAAAGAATAGATCTTATATGGATGTTAATATCAAATTAATGATCATAGGAGGAAATATATTCACCCTCGTCTACTAATTCTTTTTCCAAAAAATTTCATACATATGCGAGTAAAATAATAGCTTAATGAACTATTTGTTAAACGTGTTTAGATTTTGTAATGCTAAAATGTCTTCAAATAAATTATTTTATGTATATAAAATAAATCTATTGATTATAGAGGTAACTTTTTACATTTAAATGCAATTTAAAATAATTTTAATAATATACATGCGTAATAAAATTACCTCCAAGGCTTAGAACCAGCAGCACAGTAGTGAACAACTTTGACTTTGTTAAGCTCTACATTCTCTGGATGCCTCCAAAGCATAGCCATAACCAAATTGTAAATTCCTGGTATTGGCTTGTATATGTCCTTAAAGTAGATATTCAAGAAATCCTGTAACAAAAAAAAAATTATAAAATGTTTTGGATTCAATATAAAAACGAATAAATATTGCATTTTATATACCTGTTCAGCAAAAGGAGTGGGAGGCACGACTTTGAGAGTCTCCAAGAGGTTATGATAAGTGTAGAGGTCAGGCTCGTAGACGAACATACCGGCGTTGAAGTACAAAGGCGGCTTGGGACCAAGCTCTGCCTCTGGCCATATAACCTTGTCTGGACACTGTTGGCAATAACCAATCTTGTTCTGTGGCGTGTGGCTCCATGTCTTCTCGCAGAAACAGTCCTTGACTGCGTAAAATTGGCCGTTAGGGAGATCAAACAAGTGGTCTATGTTCTCGAACACTTGTATGTCTCCGTCCAAGTATATCATCTTGCTGTACTCCACAAACTGCATCCATATAATTTTATTATTTAATTTTGTTTTCCATGCATATAAAAGTAGAGTAGGGAAAATAAGAAGGAACACATTTTTGATTTAACAATATAAGGGAACACGTTGATAGAAAAATACGAAAAAAAAAATTACATAAATTTTATTGGATTTTTTTTTCTTTTATTAAGAGTGGAATTTTAGTTCCATTGTTAATTACAACAACTATAGAAACATATGGATTTGATGATAAAGTTTAGAGATGGTCGAGTGTCTAGTTTTGATATATAAAACTATAAAACTGAAATATTTCGGTCGTAGAATCTAAAATTTTTAGGAGAACTTTAACAAAAATTGTTCACACATAAAAGTACGACACTAGTGAATATTTGTTTAAAACTTTTTATTAAAAATAAAGAGAACGACACTATTTATTTTAAAAAATAAAAAGGGATGCATACCTTCCATATACGCAGCTTAGAGTAGTTGATAACGTAATAAGCCATGGCAAACACGGTTTGATTAACCGGTGGGTAAACCGGCTCAATCTCCTTAACGACACAGCCTTGTTCCACCAACTGTATCCGGTGATCCTCCGGGACATCCGGCAAAACAGCCACCACGAGTGGATAGTTACTGTTAGCTTTCCTTAGCCCCTTAGCAAGACCCACCACTCCTTTCACGAAGTCTTTGTTCCCGGCCAGGAAAGTCACATAAGCTCTCTTTTCTCCCCTGTTAGCGAAACCTCCGGTGAGTTTGTTGTTGATCTCAAGTGCCATCTTTGTCTTTGCAAATGAAATTTTAAACACTTTTGTGTTTTGTTTTTGTGAGTTGTATATATTGTTCTGTGTTTGTGAGTGATCGTTTGAGTGAGAAGCAATGGTGCTTTATATAATATTTTGTCAGTGAATTTGGTTAATAATTAAATATTAAATTACTAATTACTATTTCCAGGAGACTTTTATACGTTTCCAGGAGAAAGGTTTCGGATCTAACGGCTATCAAGGATGACCGTGATATCCAACGGTTGTGTATAACGCGCGTGAAGCTTCGTTTGAATTAGCTAATAATAATATTGGAGAGAGAGGGGTCCCACTTAATCCAGGTGATGCCACGGCGGTTGCAATATGACACGTGTTCGTATCTAGACTGTTCGACTCATCAAGGTTTTAATTGTTCCTGTGGTAGTTGATCTGTCACTTGTCCCTGGGTTCCACTTCAGATACTACAACTGTTATCGTGTGGGATATTCTAATTGGCTATTGGGATCACACGTGTCCACGTGAATGTGCTGGGCGGTGATATTACCACGTGTCGTGAGAAAATCCTATGGGACCCACTCGCATTTGGTCTATTTTTTACCATTCTTAAAGTTTTAATGGCAGATTGTCGTAACTATGACGGACCGACTATTTCAGTCAATCTTACGTTACAAATCAAACATTTAAATGTATGACTCAAAAGGCTATCTTTTCAAATGAAATCAAAAGTTAGGTAATACTTTTTCATTTTTTATAATATCGTTGCCGGTATGCACGGATTTAAGAGTTATGTTTAGAAAATTTTAAACTCAGGGTTTTAAAAATCTGGTTTAGAATTGTAGATTTAGATGTTGTTTTCATAAAGTTAATTTTCTATATTTTATCAGTTTTAAAATTTGAAAGCTGATGTTATTTTTCTAGAATTCATAAGTTTACAGAATATCTTGAATTTCGTTTATAATCATTTATTCATATAATTTTATTAAAATTCATTCTAAATAACTTTCTAATATATACAAATATTTAAAGTTATTTAGGTTTGAAAAATATTAAATTTTGATGAAAATTGGAAATTTCAATTAAATAACACCAAATATTTTATTTAAAAAAGAGCATATAAATATATATATATAAATATAAGATCCAGTAATATTAATTTTTAAATTGTAATTTATAATCATTAACTAAATAACATTGGATTATAGTTGTTTTATTTAAAATTTATGACTGAATAACACTTCTTAGGATTTAGAATTTAACTTTTGACTTAAAATTTAAGAGTTAAGATTTAATTGGGTTGACATTATTATGTTAGTTTAAAAAGAATTATACTATCTGAGAATTTGATATAAAATCTGACATGCTTCTAAAGAGTTTCTATAAAACTTGAAAATTTTATAGATTAATTTGTAGTTAGTGTTTTGTTGGGTAGATGTATGCTGCGTTTAATGCCTTCAATTTAACAAGTAATGTAAAAATGTATTGAAAAGTGTTGTTGTTGTAGTATTCTTAGTGGGCCGTCTTTGCTTACTATAAGGAGGACAAAATTAAAAGTATTGGATAATGTTAGTTTATAGAGTCGAATTAAGATCATTTCTATTAATTAAATATCCATTTAAGTTTTTTTATAAATATAATATTTATATTTTTAATATAACTTAGTTATATAATATAATTTTAATTTATGAATATAAATAAAATCAGTTATATAAAGATAAGTAATATATAAATATCTCAAATTATCTCAAATTCTTTCATTTAAAATATTTTTTTTTCTCATTTTCTTTTTATATTTATATAATTTAATATTATTATTATTTTCTTTTTATTTTATAAGATTGCTATAAAAATAGTAATTATCTATTATACTGTCATTTTATAGATATTTATCGAATAAATTATAATAAGTAAATACTAAGTTTGATCATTATCTTTATTACCATACTATATGTCATTAGTTCTTTAAATTTATAAAAACTGTTTGTGTATTTCTTCTATTATAAATAGATATTTATAGTGGAAAGAAAATACAATAAAGTAACACACAAGATGTAAACACATAAAAAAAAAATAATAAAAAAGTCTTTTATTATCTTTCATTATAATTTAACTCATTTTTCTCTTATATTTATTTCTAACACATTATTAGTAGGAAGAGCTCTACTAGAAATATGATTTAAATTATGTTTGTGAATTCATTTAAATTTATTTATTATTAATTTATAAAGTGGTAGATTATATCTCCTCCCTATTTAAATTATAGAATGGAATGATAAACTTCCTTCTAGATCATTATTAATTATGGAGTGAATGGTTAAGTCTCCTCCTAATTTATTATGGAGTGTGTGTTTAAAAATCCCATCTTTGTTTATGGAGTTGAAGTTTTTGAACTCCTCCGCAATTGTATGGTAGGTTGTGCCTCTTCATATTGCTTTTAAATTATTATTTTAAATTACTGTCTTAAATTCTGCTTTTATTATGATTCAAAGATTTTAAACTTTTGCAAAAATATTTTTATTAAATTAAATGAGTTAAGATCTTGTTATTCAGAAATCATGTCAAATTTGACAAAGCTCGAGATCGCCGCCCTTGAATTATGTGGAAAAAATTATACGACTTGTGCACTAGGTGCAAGATTGCATCTAAAAGGAAGCGGTTTCCTGAGCACCATTAATAAGTCGAAAATGACTTCAGATGAGAATAAAGCTAGGGCCATAATATTCCTACGCCACCACATCCATGATGGTTTAAATGATGAATACATCACGAAATACGATCCTGCAAATCCCTGGCAATCACTTAAAGAAATGCTTGATCACCAGACATATGTGATCTTACCGAAAGTCATAAATGAGTGGCTGAATCTCCGGTTCCAGGATTACAAAAATGAGAGTGAATATAATTCCGCGATGTTCGGAATCACATCCAGGATGAAGTTATGTGGAGATAGAGTGAGTGATTATGATATGATTGAGAAAAATCTCTCCACATTCCATCCTGAAAATGTAGTCCTACAGAAACAATACCGGGGGAATCGCTACACTCGTTATTCGGAGTTGATGCAAGTCCTCCTTGTTGCAGAGCAAAATAACGAGCTCGTGATGATAAACCATCAAAGTCGTCCAACTAGATCTGCTCTATTCCCTGAAGTGAATGCAGCATCATCCAATTATAATAGTGGACGTAAAAGCGGACACGATCGACTCTATAGTCGTAGTCGTGGATGTGGACATGGTCGAGGCCAAGGAAGAGGATATCGTCCAAGTGATTCCCACAGTGAAAGAAATAGTAGAGACTTCCAAGAGAATGATTATAAAAGGGAAGTTAAAAGACAAAGAGAAATTGTTTGCTTCAGATGCAGCATGAATGGACATTGGGTACGTACTTGTCGTACGCCAAAACACCTAGCCTAATCACAAAAGGTTAAAGAAATAGAAAATGAAACAAATTTTGTTTGTGATGAAGCAGGGCCCTCTTTCCATAGCCTAAGTGATGATACTCATCTCGATGTTGCTGATTTCCTTGTTGATCCTGAAGAATCACGGAAATCAAAGAAACTTGGGTCGATAATTAGCAAAACTTAATCTAGTTTTTATTTTAGTATGTAAAATAGAATTTTGTTTTAATCAAGGTTTTTGATGTAATATATTAACCGTTTTATAAAAGTAAATACTTTTGATTAATTATTGTATTTCATAAGTATTGTGGCCCAGAAGATGTCACAATTTAAGACTGAGGATGGAGATATATGTCTAGCAGACAGTGCTACGACACATACAATCCTTAAGGATAAAAAAGTATTTCTCCTGTCTCAAAATAAAGGACTCCGCCGGAAGCATGAGTACCATATCAGAAAATGCAAAGATTATACTTGGCTCTGGAAGAGCAAGTTTTTCATTACCAAAGGTGCAGAGTTTGAAGTGCAAGATGCATTATACTCCCCCAAGTCTCACAGAAATTTGTTGAGCTTTAAAGATATCTGCAGAAAAGGGTACTAAGAACAAAAGTGGTATTGAATATCTTTGCATTAAAACGGAGAAGGAACATCAGTTGGAAGAATTACAAATGATGTCCTCCGGATTATATTGCACAAAGATAACCATGGCTGAATCACATGTTGCGGTAAACCAGAAGTTTACCAGCACTTTTAGAGTATGGCATGAAAGGTTAGACCATCCGGGTTCAGTCATGATGAGAAAAATTGTGCGAAATACTAATGGTCATCCATTGAAAAACGAGAAAATTTTGCAATCGAATGAGTTGTCATGTAAAGTATGTTCTCAAGAAAAACTCATAACTCGGCCATCACCAGCCAAAGTTGGGAATGAATCCCCTGTATTCCTAGAGAGAATACAAGGTGATATATATGGGCTGATCCACCCACAGTGCAGGCCGTTCAGATATTTTATAGTATTGATTGACGCATATAGTAAATGGTCACATGTGAATCTTTTGATCACAAGAAATACGGTTTTCACAAGATTCATTGCCCAAATAATCAGGTTGAGAGCACATTTCCCTGATTATGCCATAAAGAAATTCATGCTTGATAACGCTGGTCAATTCACTTCCCAAGCCTTTAATAATTATTGTATGTCCTTGGGAATTGATGTTGAGCATTCGGTGCCACTTGTTCATACACAAAATGGTATGACTGAGTCATTGATTAAGCGGCTGCAATTGATTGCAAGACCATTAATCTTGAAAATAAAACTCTCAATCACTGTATGGGGTCATGCTATATTACATGCTGGGCATTAGTCTAAGTGAGACCAAGTGCATATAATGAATATTCCCTCATACGGTTAGTATATGGCCAGGAACAAAATATATTCCATCTTCGTGTGTTTGGGTGTGCGGTTTATGTCCCTATAGCGCCACTCCAAAGAACAAAAATAGGACCACAAAAAGATTCGAGATATACATTGGTTATGAATCACCAAGTATAATTTGATACCAGGAACCACAAGCTGGTGATATGCACGTTTTATCGATTGCCATTTTAATGAAAGTGAATTCCCCGCGTTAGGGGGAAGATTGAGAGAATCACCAAATGATATCACCTGGTGTACACACTCTTAGGCTTATCTTGATCCTCCTACTAATCAACGGAAATTAAAAGTG